TGTGGGGCTTGAACTCTGGGCCTGGGCGCTGTCCCTCAGCTCTTCAGCTCAAGGCGAGTGCTCTACCACTTGAGCCACAGCGCCACTTCCGGTTTTCTGGTGGTTTATTTGAGATAAGAGTCTCATGGACTTTTCCTGCCCAGGCTGGCTTTGAACCACGATCCTCAGAGCTCAGCCTCCTGAGTAGCTAGGATGACAGGCGTGAACATCTCTTGAAAGATCTCTTAAGTAAACCCACCTGGTTCCTTGGGAGGTTGGCCCAGAGCTGGAGGCCAAGACTTCCGCTCTCCTAAGCCAGGGAATGAGTGACCCAGCCCTTGAGGTCGAGCAGGACCGAGCCCGCTCATCCGGGGCCCTCTCTCTCTAAGCTTGCAGCTGTGTGGTTGAGGGTCTGGGCGGAGGAAGCCAGTCTCGGGCTCCTGGTTCTTACTTGTCTCTGGCTGTGTGAGAACAGCCAGGCGTCCTCTGGGGACTGGGATCGCTTCCCCCGGCTCAGCTGCACAGCCCCTTCTGCAGGCCCGGCCCCAGGCTCTGGCTCCCGAGTGAGGGTCTCAGGGCCTCACAGCTGGGCCGTTGGTGGGTGCTCTTTTGGGGATCCAGCCGCCCGTGGCTCTTCCTTCCGCTGACGCCCTCAGGAAGCACCTGTGGATCACGTTAGCAGAAGCTCAGCCCTCCTTCTGGCAAAATGGCCGGGTATGGGGGCCATGGCCTCAGCGTTTGAGCATGCGCCCTGCGCCTTGGAGTTGTCAGATAAAATACAGGATGTGGAAAGTGAACTTGAACTTCAGATAAGGGACTGGTTTTAAATGTCACATCTTCTACATGTAGATAGAGGCATGAAGCCCTGGGTTCCATGCCTGTAGCACATTTAACAGCAAAAGCCAGAAGTGGCGTTGTGGCTCAAGTGGTAGAGTGCTAGCCTTGAGTAAACGAGGATCAGGGACAGTGCCCAGGCCCTGAGTTTAAGCCCCAGGACTGGCAAAAACAAAAATAAACTTAAACTTTCCTGCCTGGGCTGGCTTTAAACCGTGATTCTTAGATCACAGCCTCCTGAGCAGCTGGCCACCAGCACCTGGTGCATCTTGTACATTTATTTGCTAAATCTGTTGTGGATACCCAGGTACCTGTCAAGGTATGCTTGTGAGAGAAGTGCACGTGTGTGTGTGTGCTGGTGCAAGAGCACAGTGAGTGCAAATGTAGCCGTGCATACGTGTGCATGTGTACGCATGTGCACAGGGTCCACAGGAGCATGGCAGGCTCTGAGCGTGGTCTGCCAGGTGCAGTGCTGTGGCACTGTGCCCTGCCCCATGGCTGCCCCCTGACCACCACACCCCTTTTACCGGCTAGGAACGGTCAGCTGCAGCTGGGCTGGGCGAGCCTCCGGGACCACGTGTTGTGCGCATGCGTGAGTTATGTAACCTCTGGGAACACAGCAGCGGCCAGTCCCCGGCCAGATGTTTCGCTCCTTCCTGGAGCCAGATGGTGGCCCACGCCGGGGCCCGTGGGTTCTTCTGGCCCCTGCACCCCCTTCCCCGGGCCTCTGGACAGCCTCCAGGTCCCAGAGCCAGGCGGTGGGTACTTCACACGGGCAGCGGCTTTCCCAGGCCCGAGGCAGCTGGGGGGCCGCTCCTCCGGGGGCTTTGCCCTCGCTCCTCAGAGCAGCGACTGTGCTGCCATGCTGCCAGCCACGCAGCCTCTGCCCCCGAGCCTGCCACCCCCACCCAGCCTGCTCTTGAGGTGACAGGTAACAACCAGATCACCTGGGAAGCCACCTTCTCCCCCCCCCCAGTCGTGGGGCCTGAACTCTGGGTCTGGGCACTGTCCCTGAGCTCTTCAGCTCAAGGCTAGCGCTCTACTACGTGAGCCACAGCGCCACTTCCGGCTTTTTCTATGTATGTGGTGCTGAGGAATCAAACCCAGGGCCTCATGCATGCAAGGCTAAGCGCTCCACCACTGAGCCACACTCCAGCCCCTCACTTGTTTTTGCCTCTGGGTTTGTAACCCTGAAAACCTTCGAGAAAGGCCCAAACATGGCCGAGTGGGGTGGGGCAGGACACCCCGAGACTCCGGGTGATTCCCCCCATCTAGGGTACCTGGCAGTGTCTAGCAGAAGATTCCAGAAAGCGAGGTCCTTTCTACTTGTGTTTTGTGGGACCAACAACTGGCCAGGCAAGTGTGGTTGTCACCCCGAACTCCAGGGTGACCCAGGACCCAGGGGTGCGTCTGTGTGTGTTCCCCACACATCCCCAGCCACCCCTCTCCGTGAGGGGCCCCAGCTGTGCCTTGTAGTGACCGCGATGCGGTCCAGTGCCCTGGTTTCCCCAGAAGCGCCCCCTGGCGGTCTCTCCCTTGTGAACCTGACCTCAGGTGCAGTGCCCCCTCCAGCTCCAGCTCCC